GCTCCGCACGCCGGATATGGGTTCCGCATGTCTTTTTTGCGGACAATATGCGGGAAACAAAATGTATGGTCTTCTGGGGCCTCGAACACTTTCTTGATGGAACCGTTACCATACATGAAGAGACAGTTTCTGACACGCGAGAGGACAATCGCCAAGACAACTGCCCTCTCGCACGTCAGACACCATCTCACTTTGCATGGTAACGGATCCAGCGATCCACGAACCAGTTGGATACAATTTATTGGAAATGGATAGCGTGTGAATATGGGTACAATGAACGACGGCGGGGCATTGGGTGAAGAAGGTCTTACTCGTGAATCCCGGTAAGTTATTCTTTCATATATATATGAGTACACATATCTGAAATGCATTCAGGTGATTGCACGTCCTACAAAATAGTTGCATCTGCACAATTCAGGTCGGTGCTCTGAATGCATTTGGCTCACTCCCGAAATGTTTAAGGTAAATGCGTAGAAGTTTGTGTAATTTACTCAACATTTATAACACAGTTTTGCTTTGCTTCCAGCCGTTATCTTTGTACGCAGCAATGCTTCTGGGAAGCTTTGGACTGAACCCCTCCAAACTCCTAACACCGAGTCCGTGGTAGGATGAACATATCTGGAATTCACAAACACTGGTAATGGTGCTCTCACTGAGGCATTGCAGCAAGCCGGCCATGGCGCCACGGTGGATTCAGTCCAAGAAAAAAATTGAGTAGATACATATGGAAATGCTATTAGTAGAAGCAACATTACGCATCTGCAGCATAGAACGAGCAAAGGACAAGCGTGCATCAGAAAAATTATGTCGGAATATGAGCGAACGGAGCCCTTTGCAATGCGAGCGAACGGAACCCGTTGAAATGCGAACGAACGGAGACCTTTGAAATTGAAATCCCATGCAACTCTTCTTTATCAATGCACAGCAATGCCCCAGTTTCATGAGTGTGGTAAGCAAATTGGCAGTTTTGACTATTTTAAGCGACGAATTCCATTAGTTTGGATCACTGAATTTGTTCAGACCATTGGGGAAAAAACACCAACATATCTTCGAGTGATCATCGGACAAAAGGTGCTGGGCAGACCTGTGTAGTTCTACCAGCGCATCTCTTCTCAATTTATGCCCAGAGGGTGATATTGGAGACTGGATCTAAAAGGCGACACTGGACGTCTCCTGGTCGATTGCTGGCGCCGCTGTTGGTTGGACTGTGCTATGGAAGTCGCTTAGTCTTTTGTAGACGACAGCTTTGCCTGCACCAAACAGTTGATTACGTGTCTTGATCGTTTCTGGTTGTTAAGATACGCTTTCAAAAACGTCATAGAACTGGTGGATGCATGGTCTGTGTTCGAGCGCGTAGACAGGTACTTTGGTACGACCGGCTGCAGGCATCAACCCATACTCTAGACAACACAATTGTTTGTTCTCCCCTGGGTCAAAGTGCGCTAGGATTGTGTCGGTGTGAGGCTGCGTTGCCAGGTCGGGACCAATCCTCAAACTCGGCTCCTCAGTGTCATCAAAATCAGGAAATGTTACGTTTGCAGCGTTGATCAAATGGGAAGTTGACAAATAAGTAACACTGGAATCAACCGACACCAGCGGCAGTGAGAGTTGACGCTGTGCTCGCCAATGTCAGATATGCGCAGGTAGCGTAGGGAGGGATCTTCCAGGTACCAGCAAGCATTTGCATTTGTATTACAGGCACGATAACCTGTCGACTACTGCAAGGAAGCCGACGACTTGGATGTGGCGACAATACGCGGCCTTTGAAACCGGACTATATATAGTTATGAAATGGTTATCAAACGATGATATCAAGCAGCGTCGTAATGGATATTACCGGCGGTTTAGAAAGTCGACAGGTTTTTCACCCGAATGTAACACAACCCAACTGGTCCTGTCGGCAAAAACGGTCAACTTAACGACAATGATGCAACCAATTGATCAATGTCAGAGGTTATTCGATTAGGACTCGATCATTTTGTATGCATCGCCGCGCCGCTCAGTGCAATAACTGCGTGTAGCTGAGATGTGTGTGTGCGGGAAGTTGTGCCAGCTTTGTTCATTACGGTCCATACACATGAATTAAACTACGCCTAGCTGATGAATGACGCCCGTGAAGCACGGTAGTTAGAGACACGGATAGGCAAACGTAGGCTATACTTCCTGACATCAATGTCCTAAGAAGAATGTATGCATGTAAGACGTTGACAAAGGGACGACGCAAAGCAGCACTTCACGAAATCGCTTGAATCATTGCATGCACCTATCATATACCACAGCTACCTAATGGCACACAATCACGTCAATCACGGTACCAATTTGGACAAGCACTGTTAGCGTTGGTGACGGCCGCTGCGCCGTCGCATTGCTCGCCTCTCCGATAAGCGAGCGTAGCGCCGCGTGCGGTTCACGCTCTCGCCGGCCGCCGTCCGCTGTCGTTCACACCTGTGTAATGTACCCCGCCCAGGCCGATGACACGTGATTGCTGTGCCCGCGGACGCCTTCTGCGCCGAAAGTCGCCACACAGTCGGTTTTAACAAGTGTCTGTCGGCACCAACCGGCTGAAGCCCGGTATTGCTGATGGGGCTCGGTTGTGTAGTACGCGTATGGGAAACCAGAGGTCCTGCGTTCGATTCCCGCCGCGCTCGCTCTTCCTGCCAGGGTGGGAGGCAAGCGCGCCATGCAGCCTCCGTGGTCAAGTGCCTGCTTTACTCCCAACGACGACGTCGGTACTACATACGTTTGACATGCACCCAGTTGCCGACTGTACTTTGACCATACGGCCGATGAAGCTTCACGGCGGTAAGTGTATATGCCATGCAATCGAGCGTTCTTAACCATATCGTTACAAATATTCAAATCGCATGACGGATATGGTAAAGCAGCATTGGCGCAGTTTTTCACGTTATTAGGCAAAATATCGCGCTATAGGTAAATAACGCCAGCGACGTTTGCTGTTGATAATATTTCAGCAGCATGTTTTTGTCTTTTGTCGTTGGAAACGGCAACCCCGAAAAATTTTGATTTATGATTGTATTTCCATTGACGCGAGCCAGACATACGTCTGGCGTATTGACGTCACCACTGTGACGAGCACACTGAGCTCTCAACGCTGGTGCACCACCAGCACGTGCGTGTATGTGCGTGTGCGTGTGTATGTGCGTGGGCGTGTGTATGTGCGCGCGCGTGTATGGGTGTGTGTGTGGCTAACACGATGATCAGCGCCGTGTGTGAACGGTGTCACACATAAAGGAAGAAGCGATGACCATGTGGTGATCACGGCCCGTCGACTGTCACCAGAGCATAATTATTAATAAAAACATGAGGCATTAGCAGTAACAGTGCAGAACATGCGGCTCGAAGGCATTTATAAACACGAAACAAATAAGAAAAGCGACGTACAAAACAACGGTGATCAACGGAATCACAATCACAGGAGGAACATAATTGCAACATGACAGTTGGACCAGGATACGGTAAACACGATTGAAACATAGCTGATTTGATCGGAGCACAAGATACACGCTAAGGACAGAATTATTGCGGTTCGGTGTTGATAATGATCGAAGGATGATAGATATCTTCGGAATGCCACGGACATGATCCAGATGCAAAAATGAACGGAGCATTGTTAACATGATCAAAACGTGGCGCGAACAGCTGGACGCTGGCACTACAACAGAAATTGCATGATTAATAGTGTCATAACAACAACATAACATGACAATTATCATATGAGCATAATCAACATTACCACAGCACAACCAAAGCATGAGTTCTTTAACTGGAACACGGCAGCTACCAAAAGAATGAGCCGATGTAATGATTTCGCCAAGAGCGTGGCGATGACCAGCACAAAGTGACGCCAACAACCGTCACAGCCGCCGTTCCTCCATGTCGCAACATAGCACCATGCCAGTGGCAATGGCTACCGTGGCACCAACGCAAATGAACGGCACAATTAAGCGCTGCGAAGAAAATGACAGCTAATTTTACCCTGCAAGCAACAAAATAAGACGGCATCCTGGCCTGGTATTGATGAACTAGCATCAAATACATGGTCGACATGGCCAAATCACGCAAATACATTCCGCGTTTGCACGCGTCTGGATTAAGGCACAACCCATACTTACGAAGACGCACACTCGCAGAAAAGCACACGATAAACGCGATGAGGACTGCTAATACATCCGACGGTCGGTCGAGACACGTCATGAAAGCATCATAAGGTCCCATCATAGCGTAGCATGCGCAGGGACCGCTCCTCGAACCACCCGGCAAGCTGAATAGAGTGGAAACGTAAATATACGACCTCTCCGCCAGCTGACGTCATGTTCTTACCTGGTCTCGGCGTCTGCATTTTTGCCTGAAGCCGCCAGAGCCGAGCTGAATCTATGTTTGGCGTGTCAATGCGCCCAACTCTCAGTGGATTTCACAGTAAAGCTTCTCACTATTGACTCACGTGATCCAATTGGATCATATATGCCTGCCACAGATCTGCCCTCGCTTGGAACACCGGCGGCAGCACGCATGCAGTGAACTCAGTCCACTCACCTACAGCATTCTACAGCCATCTCCCTGCACACCGGCATACCTCAGGTCGCGCACTCCGAGCTCCCCACGTTGCGCTCTCATCTGAAGCCCCCCCCCCCCCACCCACCCAACCGCGTCACAGCTAGTATGGCGTGTGTGCGCCCACCCCACCAGCACAGGACGAGGGTGCTCCCCCGACCCCCCCCCCCCCCCCCCGGGCCTGGTCACCGCGAGTCCCTCGCCGGCGCGCCACCCGCGCTGAGACTCGACCGACTCTGACGCGGCACCGATTCTAACTCGGCACTGACTCTGACCCGGCGCCGACTTTGAATCGGCACCGACTCTAATTGGGCACCGACTCTGACTCGGCACCGACCCTGACTCGACATCGAGTTTGACTCGACACCGACTCCGACTCGGCACCGAGTTTGACTCGGCACCGACTCGTGCCCAGGCGCTGCCCGTGCTCAGCGCTCGATATCAGCGTTCTGGATGACCTCGGGGCCGAGCGACACAGCCTCGGCTCCCGGCACCGACCGGAGCGACTCCCGATACGGCTCCTCCTCCGGAGCCGGAGCCGGAGCCGGCAGCTCCCCGCGCGCCGTCGAGAGACACTCCTCGATCTTGCTGGGCAGGTACAGGTCGGTGAGGAAGGTCGGGTGTAGGGCACTCAAGGTCTGAATCTCGGCCTTCCGTCCCGATGCCAGGATCTCGCGGATCTGAACGGAGAGCACGGGAAACGGCGTCAGGTGGGCCAGCTTAGAATGCCGCTTTCCTATAAATCACACCAACAGCAAACGACTGTCCACGTTAGATCGTGGAATGTGAACAACTAAAATACCAGATTTGAATTATTGTAAGCGCCGGTCAGGAGGGGACACCATCATGTGTACTACTCATCAGTTTGCATGAACGAGCCAAAAAATAGCGTTACGACCTATTCGAGTTTTCTTTCCTTACATGTTACGATTTTTTCTAGCATTTTTAGTCAATCCTAAATAAAAAATGCCAGTAGAAACAGCTATGTTTTAGTAGCTGAAGGCCTGAACGCCACTAGGCATTCATTCTGCTGGTGGGGAAAAGAAACGTTCCCATAACATCACTATATGTATATATATATATATATATATATATATATATATATATATATATATATATATATATATATATATATATATATATATATATATATATATATATATATATATATATATATATATATATATAAAATACCATTGATCTCGCCTGCTAACCTCACCAGTCGCACACTCTCTGAAGCCCGTTCTCGTGTTCATTCCACGCTAACACCCGGCACGGCCTCAGTTCAAGTCCCCACCTGACCCGTCCTCGCCCCCGCCCCTCCCCCGGCCAGCCAGTCGGCCACACTGACCTGCCGCTGCCAGAACCGGTTGTGCCTGACGTACGGCCGCAAGAGCAGCCTCTGGGCCTTGCCCCGATCGGCCGCCGACAGCGGCAGCAGCGCTGCGGAGGCACAGGCCGTCAGCTGGCGGCCGCGGCGGCGGGAGCACCAAGGGTTTCCAGGGGTCACCACTGGTCACTGATCACCGACGCTGGCCGCGGTATACCTGTCCTGGATGTCTGTGACTGTTCCGCCCGTGCAGTGGCTAGGACATGTACGTTACGCTGCACTGCAAATGGTATCTTCCATCACTGTCCGAGAGCAGCCATGATAACCGGACCATTCCCATGACTCATGACAAACGCGTTCTTGGAGTAATCCGTCCGTCTAGGATTTGAAGCATCGATCCGCGCCCTCATTCTGTGCGCTACAGAGAAAGGGTAACGACCTGACGATTCTCGATTCCAGTCTGGACCAGACCGGGGTCGCTGACCTGTCTGCGGGATGTTGAGCTGGAGAACCTCGGTCGGCCGGAGCCCTAGCCACATCAGGTCCGGGGTGGCCAGACTCGCCGCCTCGTGAGCACGAGCCTGCGGCAGCAGCGGCTCACAACCAGTTCACGCAAACGTGCATACAGACAGCCCAAGCGTCACACAAAATTAGAAACCGCTGGAACCGCGCATGTCGAGCCCTTACGTATTACAATTCATCGCTGTGTCCACATTTCAGAAGACATAAGCCTAAGGCGGTTGTCTGCAGTGCATTTGTGCAGAGTGGGCATATGAGGACCCTTCACCAAATATTAAAGCAGAGCTTGTGTTCGCCATTATGCACGTTCCTCATAACATTTTAAAAGTCAAACGTTTGCAATAAAAGGTAACGCTATCCATTCCAGAATAATGTGCATACATCTGGAGCAGTTCTGTTTACTGAATCAGTTCGCTTTGAAAGCATCGTACATGAACACGTCTCAATGCATGTCTTGCATAGCCTACGTCACGGGGGTGCATGGGATGCAGCTCGAATACATATACATTCGTCTTATGGGTTATTCAGGCCGGAGCCCCTCCCTATCAGATTGCAGTCATCAGACTGCGGATTCTGGACGGCATCCATGACGGAGCGCAGCAGCTCATTCCTCGACCAATGATTTAATGCATGCTTACTTGCAAAGAAGCGTTCCTATACACCGCATCTCCCCAAAAACTGAACGTCTTTAACCAGCGGAGCAGCTGCCCATACCTGGACGCGTGGTCTGTGTCGCCAGTCCCGCCTCACATACGCACCTGTCCATCCAGTCCGCTCTGCTCGGTCCATCACGAGCGTCTGATGGCGCGTGTCTCGCACGCGTCATCACGCGGACGCCTCGCACGCCAGTCTGGCGCAAATTCGACCCTGTTTTAAACCTCGCACCACGCCCCGCGCAAAAACTCACACAGGAGACAGACACGCAAGCCGGCAGGTACTCAGTCCCCCGCCCGGTGCCCCGGCTGGAGGGAGACGGCCGCGCCGCCGCCGGGGGACAGCCTCACCAGCGAGCCGTACTTGTAGACGAAGAGGATCTCGAGGCCGTGCGGGTCAGCATCGAGCAGCGCCAGCGCCGGCACCTGCAGCTGCGTCGTCAGCAGCCGCAGCAGCAGGCGGGTGTTCAGGTCCGGGAAGCCCTTGCCCTGCCGGCGGCCGGTGGCCGGGGACCGATGGAAGGCGCAGGGGGACATGCGCCGGCCATGGCTGGACGTGGCGGCGGCCCGGTGGCGCGCAGAGAGGCGCAGCTGTGTACTGGAACGCTCTGTCGCAGCCCATCCGGACTCGTGGCGTTGTTATCAGCCCATGCGATCGGATGCTGTTCATCGTCATATCGCTCGTCGATGCTCATACCATCGTCCCAATGGATGCCGCTCTCGACTAGCATTTATCGCTCGAAGATAGTACAGCTATCACCATCGCCAGACAAAACACAGGATTACGCAATTCGCAAGCTGGCAGCTGACGGTCTTTCACCGTAAAGAAGATCCTGCCTGGTGGCAGGAGAGGACGTATGACCACTTGTCCGCCGTCCTGCAGCGCAGGGCAGGCGTCCCATCGCCGTGGCGCAAGCGTGGCCGCGCCCCGCCGTCACGTACCGTGATAACGATGCCGGGCGGCAGGTGACGCAGAAGCCGGCTGTCCAGGATCTTCTGGAACGTGGCGTCCTTCTCGACCACCAGGATGAAGCGGGCCGAGGAGTGCACAAGCTGCACGTGTGGCAGGTCCTCCGGCACCAGCAGGCCTGCGGTGGCGGGTGATCGGCACGGCCGGTGTGACGAACAGATCGGAAACTGACGGCTGAGAGCCACGTGTATGGGGGGGGGGGGGGGCAATGGCAGCTGGATGGCGCTGACATGGAATGCTTGGTGCTTGTGGTGCTGTTGTCGAAATGGTACATATCGCCGACCTTTAGTCGCAACCGACACGTTGATTTTCAAAATGTTGTTAGTCGAAACTAACATGCTGTTTTTCCAAATGCCTGGTCTTCTACCCAACCATCTCTCCCATCGGCCTCCAACCAATCCTCCCACTCCACAGTTCGTCCCGCACTACGGAACGCTGTCGTTCAGAAGCGGAGCGTGACAACTCTGACGGTATCGGCCTATCATGTGCGCCCATCATAGAGGCATATCGTATTTGTCCACATCTCCTTCAAACTAATTCGTTCACCTGTCTCAATCCTGCTCCGCGTCCAACCGTGCGGCAGTTACCTCGCCTCACCCCCTCCCCGCGCGCCCCCCCCCCCCTGCAGCAGCTACCCCATCCCAGCGTCCCACAGCGCAGCAGCTCCCGTGCTCCGTCGCCTCACCGTGCCGGGCGGCGGAGCAGTCCAGCACCACGTCTCCGCTCCGCAGCACCAGGTCCCCCGCCACCTAGGCCCTTAGACGTGGCGCGTACGTGCGAGCTTTGGCGCGGGATGGCCAGTAGGCGTGTGACGTCATCCAACAGAGCGTCGACAGCCCGCTGGCTGCCGAACAGCGCCACCTCCTGGTAGTAGATGTCCCTGCAACGGTCTCGAACCTGGTGCGGGTGTCCCGGGAGGCAGCGGGCTTTGGTGGTGAGTGGGATAACAAAGGCGGTCCAGCGGCACCAGATGCATGGCTCCTTGGGTCTTGGCGCATGAAGCACGCAAGTCTGAAACAAACTTTCTCCGAAGGCGCTCGACTGACCACAGGTTGGGGACGCGTTTAAAATGCAACATTCACACACTCATCACGAGAAGCATTCGCTACCGATCCGAACGTGGACCAGCACTTGCTAATTTGATACGCTGATAAAGTGATGTCATGCCTTTGAAATAAACACAACTTGTCCACATCACCTGAAAAGGGAAAGTGTTAACTTTTGTCTGCAGTGCAGCAGCTCCGCAGTCAATCGTCCAACCACGCGTCACGCTTTCGTCGCATTGTTCAGCGCCTGCCACCAACAGCCGCTGCCGCTGAAGGCGTCTGTCGCCGCCGACACGCTCAGGCAGAGTGTGTCTCATCGCAACCTCACGCTGTGTACGATGAGTCTGTATCCCCCGAGCGGTCCACAGTCAGACCGGTGGTAAAAGGGACCCGCACTGCCCACCTTTTGGTGGAGTGGGTGTTGGTGGCGACCAGGTGGCGGATCTTCTCCAGCAGCAGCACCATCATATTCAGCTTGCTCTCCTTCCGCACGCGCATGTCGGCCCGAGGAGCCGCCGCTGCCGACACTACCAGATGGCCAGCTCTGAGGGCGCAGCGGTCTGTTAGACGTGCCAAGCGGTTAGCAGACGTAACGAACTTTCAGTGATGCTTGGACACCATTGGCTCACGTGGACAACGTGATGGTTAAGGAGATGAATGGATGGTTCCCACTGCTTTACTTAATCCGTGATGAGGTTCTGTCGCCACTCCATTAGTATTTGTCATGCCACCGGTGAGGTGAGTTGTCGGTCACTAGTGAGGTGAGTTGTCGGTCACTAGTGAGGCGAGTTGTCGGTCACTAGTGAGGTGAGTTGTCGGTCACTGGTGAAGTGAGTTGTCGATCACTAGTGAGGTGAGTTGTCGGCCACTAGTGAGGTGATACACAAACAGGAGAGAACAGCGCGTCACGGCCCCCGTGCTGACCGCCTTACGTCGCCCCTGCCCACCGCCCACCCTCCACGTTCACTCACGTGTCACACAGCCGCAGGTCCTGCCACCTAGTTTTCGCAGGGAGAACTAACTCAGGAGTTTCGCCGCGCTCCCGGCAGGCGGCGACAGCGGCGAGCAGGGCGTCGATGCGCCGCAGCACGGTGGCCGTGTGAACGGGCCGCCGTGCGGCTCTGGGTGAGGGGTCAGTAACGTGACACCGCGGGTCACCGCCGGGGGACGGATCGCTGAACTGGGGCTGACTCTCCGGAGGCGTGTGCTGGGGTGGTGAGGACGGGTGGAAGGTGGCGGCAGGAGAGGAGTGGCGCTGAAGAACTGGGGAGTGGTTTCTGGACGTCATGGGCTGGCATTCGGGAGACAGAGAAGACGTGTACGCGTTGAAGAAATGACACTGGACAGCAGGGGATTGGCCTGGGAGTGGCTGAGACTGAACTGTCGGTGACCGGGTTTGGAGGTCCGAGGACTGACAGCGGACGACTGGAGACGGACACTGAAGACTGATTGGCTGAGACCGGGGCGTGGCTGGCTGAAACCGGGACGGCGTTACTTCGGACAGACCAACTCTGGGCTGTGACTGTGACGCAGCCAGTCGTGACGATGACGCCAGGTGACGTGCTTCACGCAGCGGGCTGCAGAGAGAGACAGTCAGGGGTAGCTGGATGTCCGGATCGTCTTCCACACCACTCGCGGGCGGAGGCTGACCGCCGCACGGCGACAGGCCGTGCACGCTCCCGGCGGCGGGGGTGGGCTCGGGAGACGGCGCACGCCACTCGTCCACCTCCATGTGGGCACCATCCACACCCAGGCCTCGGCACAGGCCCGCTGTCGGTGTGGGAGGCGGTGACTGCGGACCACTCGCCGGCCGGCGTCGATCGCCTGCGGCCGTCGCTGAGCAGCCGGCGGCCCGGGCCGGAGAGCGCCGCTCGGCGACGGTCGCGGCTGCGCTTCTCACCGCTTCCGAGACGCCAGTGTCCGCCCCGTCCAGCGCCGCTTCGGTGCGCCGGCCCTGCAGGACCAGGTCGCTGACCTCGGAGATCAGTTCGTCCACCAGCAGCTCTTCCAGGTCGTCTCGGAGGCAGTCTAGCTCGCTCCGCGCTCCACTCGGCGGCCGAAGGTCGACCATTTCTTCGAGGTCATCCAGGATTTCTTCCTTCCTGGCATTTCTTTGGGTTAATGGCGGTCCGACGTCAGCTGGATCATGCAGGTCGTCAATCAGGTCCCCCTGTCCAGAAGATGGAGGCGGTTGAATGAGTTCATCCAGGTCGTCTCTTAGGCCGTGGTCCGTTTGATGCGGCGCAACATGCTCCTCTCTCTCGTCGAGGTCATCCAGTACGCTGAATTCCGTGCCTGGAGGAGGTACAGCCTCTTCTACTGCCTCATCCAAGTCATCCACCAGGCCGATCGTTATGTACGGTGCCAGTGGGAGATCCTGTGGATCGTCCAGATCATCTCGCAGACGCGCTAGATGACACCCAACACCATCTTCCAACGGGGCCGACAGCCCGCCGAGCAGGGGCACACTTCCTGTCAAGGAATGATAGGCACGCGTAGCGGAGTGCGTTCGCGGCAACAGTGTGGCATGACACGCTTCGGCCGCGGACAAGATTGACTCAGCCTCGGCAGAAGAACAATGGGTATTGAATTGACTGGAACAAAATGTGTGAGGGCCAGTGGGCTGGATGTGCCACGCCCCACTAATTTGTTCTTGGCCTCTTGACTCCATGCATGACATTGCCGCTGGCTCGTCCAGGTCGTCATATTCCATTCTTGTGCTGAACAGGCTCCTTTTGCTTGCGCGCTGTGAATGTTTACGGTTGAAAATTGCTGAGTGAGGGGTAAAAGTGAAGACAGTTTGTAATAACAACACACCAGCACGACGCGCCCGCACGGATTCGCCCTCCAATCGCTGCGTTGGTAACATTCAGTAACGTAAGGGAGTGTCGCTATCCTTACAGAACAATATTATTTATATCCAATTTACCATTTTAAATCAAACTTATTTCTGTGAAGTAAAACGAAACTTGCAAATTGCACATCGTACATTAAACAAAAAATTGTAGCGATTTTCCAAGACGTCTACCATTTTTGTATGCATACACGAGTGTAATCAATAATTTTTTATATTTGGTAAACCACTATCAGCTGATCGCTAAGGAAAACGTGTTCCCAAACATGACGCAAATGATACACAAATGCGCAGAAGGACCCTGGACCTGGACGTTAGATAGCCTTGCCCTTGACCTCAACAGCGTTTCGAGCTGTGATTCCCTTGGCTCGGCCAGTCGGGCCGATTCGCTGTTTCTTCCAGCTGACTCTCAGTGTCCCCAAACAAGGCATTCTAAGCCTCTCAAAAATACCCGGATATGGGGACTCATCGGGCCACAAGCGCATGTTTCAATCGTTGCGATACGAATGATATGAGGTGGGCGGCGACCAGGGTGAGTCAGCACGATGACCTGATCCAGGTAGACATAAGTCTGTTGTTATCCAGACCATGAGTGTAGGAACAGGGGGGGGGGGGCTAGAGAGCCATGCCCCTGAATTTTGAAGGTGGGGGCAGCTTTGTGGACTGGCCCCCACTTTTCAGATTAAGGTAGCGTTTAGTTTACGTTTCCACAGCATTATACATACATGCCGATTCACCTAGCTCACCAGCCATCTTCCCCAAGATGTGTCATCTTTTTCGTTTGCTTATGGCCATAGCTTAGTGTTGCAGCCACAGACCGTCGCCGCGCGGTCTACGGAGACTGCAGTGTCGGGCGTCGGGGCTGTTGTTGCTATGGCTTTCGAGCGCGCGTGTTTAAAACCACGTTACAAAGTTTTTATCAGCGGTCAATTCTGACTAAATCTTGGGCATTTAGGACGGGACCCGGATTAGCCATGTAATACAAATTTGGGACCCTATTCCTCTACAAGTTACGTTCAGGGAGTCCTCAATATCTCTGAGGGACACAAAAACATGGAACTGAAGCCTATGTGGCAAGTATTGGACCACCCACGGCGATCAGGGACGGTCGTTGCGTGAATTAGGGGTTCCTGTGCTGATCCGGGGCCAACTGCGCTGGTCAGAAGGCCTCCCGTGTCAGGTAGGGGAACAATGCGATATGATATATCCTTCTAACGGCCTCCGATCGACCAGGAGATTTCGCCCCGTGTCGTCAGAATGACAGCCCGAAGACACTTCGCGATGGGACGGAGTGGCCCTTCAGCTCTTGGCCGGAACCGGTAATATGCCCATGGAGTTCAACTCAAGAGGCCCGGAAGGAAATAAGGGGTCTCATTGTTGTTAAATAGAGTGGTAGCCTCATTATTGTTGAATAGAGTGGGTCGAAATGAATTTGTTTAATGAAATGAGCTAGGCTATCTCATGTTTTACCTGAGGACGTTCATTTTTTTCAAAATGGATTGGGGGAAAATTACATCAAAAGGTTTGAACATGCCCGTCCGCAACCTTGAGAGCAAGGACAAGGTGGCCTGGATTGCAGCTTCCGTAAAACCGAACGGCGGTAAACCCCCTCCCCTCCCCCGGCCATCGGGCATGCTTTCCAGAAAAAGTTCCTGGAGTGCGCCCTGAGCTTTGCCCTTCACTTTTTGAGAGGTTCCTACGCCTTTGAGCCAGACCGCCTTTTCAAGACACTGGAAAGGCTGTTGACTCACTGAAGCAGTCACAAGTTACCAAACGTCCTCCCTTGGAAAAGAACTGTGAGTTCGATGTTGGGGGCTGATGACACTCCTCATGAAAGGGAATGCCAGGAGGTGAAAATGGTTTTGAAGTGACGATTTATGCTATTTTTGCTTTTGTCCTGATTGAAAATGGCTACCAGTCACATAGATCTACAAACCAGGCGCGCACCGAGTTTTACTGTTCAGTTCAGGGATTCGACCCTCCTCCTAAGTTGTGAAAAAGGGTGCCAATCTGGGAGACATCCACATTTGAGGGGCAGGTTGGACAATTGATCTCTGCTCCCTCGGCCTATCTCAAAAACTATGCCCCTGAAAGGTAATTATTTCTTCAATGTTTTGTCAGGATTTAAACAATTATCTTGAATGTAATGAATTTTGGTCGCTGGAGATTCATACGAAGTCAATGACTTGGGCAACGAGAATGGTAATGAGAAGTGAGGACTGGGGTGGTTTAGCAAAGGTAGGCAATAAGGGTGAGGAGATATTAGTTGCATTGCCCTCTCCCTCTTTACAAGATGTTCACTTCAAATAGCAGGAGTTTTGTGGTATAGTGGTCCATTTGTACGAGCGAGCGATGTGTAAGTGGCTTGGTGAGGGCAAGCAGGGAAAAAGAATGGTGGGTGGTGGTTAGAGGACAGGAGGAGGGAGAGTGGTGCATAGGACGGGTAGTGTGGATCAGTGTAGACGCAAATTTAGGGTGACGTGTATATTGGGGAGATGAAAGCAGCGCGGCAAGCGGGACGGGCGTAGTGCGTAGTGCAAGGTAGAGGAAGAGAGTACGGCGCGCGGAGCAAGAGCAGGTAGTGAGGGGGCATGGAGAGACGGCGCGGGCGTGCCGAGTGAGCACCGGGTGTGCTGCGAAACATGTGGGCCAGCGAGGCGGCCCGCGGCGCGATGCGAAGCCTTCGCGCCCGGGCCGGGAGAGAGACCGGGCGTAGCGCTCGAGGGGGGGGGGGGCATGGGGATCACGGGTGGGCATAACGGGTCTCGAGTGGTACGTCGCAGGCCGCGGACGCGGTCCGCCCGGGAGATGGTCCGCGGCGAGACGAGGCAAGCAGTTGGAAACGTGGGAAGTGCGTCAAGCGCGAGTAAGGGGGATGTGGTAAGAGGTGCATGGCGGAACTGGGAAGTGCGGGCGCGCCGATCCAAGGGGACAACGCCGTGGAGACAGGAAAGGATGGACAGCGCCAATGGATGTGTGGGGCACTGGACCGTCGACTGGGACTGCATGTGAGATATTTCACGGAACGTACGGAGAGGGCTGATGTATGGCTCACTTTGTTAAGGTTAGTAAGACGAACGTTGGCGAATGGGTGTATCGATTTCCTCTGCCAATAATCCTTCCTGACCCTTTGTTCCAAATTTTACTCGGATGGCTGGCAACCTAATTAAAGGAGCTTCATTCCGTAACCATGAGGAAAAGCAAGGAGTGGCGCGGAGCCAAGTGGTAGCCGGCTGTTTGTGTAAAGAGCGAGGAGACCCATTAGGGGCGAGTGAGTGTGGTATGAAATGTGATTTATAAGTCGCATGTCTGTGTGTGTAGTGTCAGGCGTGCCGTGATGGGCGCGAGGTGAATGACGAGCTGGAGGGTAGGGTGGAGTGTGTTAGCTTGAAGAGCAGAGGGGTT